GGCTTGTGTCGCGTAAGTTTCGTCGGTACGAAGTTACGGAAAATAAGTTAATTAAAAAACGGAAACGTAACAATACATTGTCAGCAAGATAACAATAATGGGGACTATAGAGTTGATAATACTGTTATGACAGCGGAAGTCATGTGACGCTGGTAATGCGTAATGAGTTCTAGAAAGATCGGGGAACATGTCAAATAATCTAGTATTTGCTAGGCACCCTCTATTCTTGTATATAAGTGCGCCAGACAACTAATCGGGATTGAATAGCAGACAGAGAGATTGAAGATATAGATGGACAATTGAGTCAAGCGCGGTAGTAAGTAAAGTGCATGAATCGTTCGTTGAGAATTATAGCGTGTGGAAATTAAGTGTATTGCAAAGTTGTGTTGAGAAGGAATAAACTAGTTTTATTTAAGAAAGGTCTTGTATCGCTGAAGTTTCTCAGAAAGAATTTCTACGGGAAATTAACACATGAATAGAGACGTAACAATACATTGTCAGTAAGGCAAAAATAGTGGGGATTATAGGATTGATAATACATTGTCAGTAAGATAACAACAGTGAAGACTATATGTATTGATATTAGATTATTAGTAAAATAGAAAAGGGGGACTAAAGTATTGATATTATGTCATCAGTAAGACAACAAATGTGGGGACTGCAATGTTATACTCTATATTTTGAATGTTGTAACTTAGATGTTAGCTAGAAGGCACATCACAACAAGATCATGTTTTTTATGTTAGTGTAGTGCACTTAATGTCAATTGTAAACATAAGCCTACACAACAAGTTATAACAGTGTACAAGTGTTCATACTTGTAGAAACATCAAAGAAGTAATAAATTAAATTTTTATGATTGAACTTGGCTTTACTTTCACCACATAATTTAAAAGAAGTCAGCCAATAAAAGAAAAATGTTACAAAATAGTATTAGTATTACATTGCTAATAATATAATAACCATGGTGACTACAGTATTAATAATACATTGTTTGTTTTTAAGAAAATAAGAGGGGAGACTAAAGTATTGGAAGTACACTGTTGGAAAGATAACAAAAGCAGGTGGGGATTACAGTATTTATAATACATTGTTAATCTGATTGTTCTTATATAGTTAACAATGTCTATTAATGATAGTCACACATTGTTCTTATCTAGTTAACAATGTCTATTAATGATTGCCACCCACTGTTCTTATCTAGCTAACAATGTCTACTAATGATAGTCACACATTGTTCTTATCTAGTTAACAATGTCTATTAATGATAGTCACCCACTGTTCTTATCTGGCTAACAATGTCTATTAACGATAGTCACCCACTGTTCTTATCTGGCTAACAATGTCTATTTATGATAGTCACCCACTGTACTTATCTGGCTAACAATGTCTATTAATGATAGTCACCCACTGTTCTTATCTGGCTAACAATGTCTATTAATGATAGTCACCCACTGTTATTATCTGGCTAACAATGTCTATTAATGATAGTCACCCGCTGTTCTTATCTGGCTAACAATGTCTATTAATGATAGTCACCCACTTTTCTTATCTAGCTAACAATGTCTATTAATGATAGTCACCCACTATTCTTATCTGGCTAACAGTGGGTGACTATCATTAATAGACATTGTTAGCCAGATAATAACAGTGGGTGACTATCATTAATAGACATTGTTAGCTACATAAGAACATTGGTTGACTATATTATAAATAGACATTGTTAGTTAGATAAGAACAGAGATCAATTATATTATGAACAGATATTGTTAGTTAGATAAGAATAATGGGGAACTACAGTATTTACAGACATTGTTAATAAGATAAGAACAATGGGGGACTATACTAACATGTTGTGCTTACATGAAAGGTAGTTAAGAAATCCACAAGTTTTATTTCATGATTATTTTCTTCCATATTTGTATGTTAACAATAATATGTAGTCTTTGGCCTTGTAGTATCAATCTAAAGACTGCATGGCAAGTGTTATACACTCAAAACAAAGAACTATGTAATGAAGTAGGTTTACATTAGTAGTCTGTCATACTATACTGACTGGCAACCTTATTAAAACTTCACTCAATACCAAAATAGACCACATGTTGCCATGGTAACTAACATGGCATTAAGCAGCATGGTTTGCCATTGGTTCATGTATGTTGTTAGAGGATCATGGTGATAAGTACAACATTCAGGTCTGTTCAAACATTCTCAGTTAATTGAGATCTACTTATTCTACTGCCAAAAGAAAAATGATTCAATTCACTGTCATATGTTTCAAATTACTTTTGAATAAAACATATACAGTAGATTGATCAAAGAAACTGACTGTTGTATATGTAAAACTATTTTTGAAAACAGAAAAAGAACAGTGAATTGTTTTAGAAAAACCCTTGTCAGAGTGGAAAGGCTGTAATGGAAGAGATTTATGACAGTGCAGATACATTCTGGATATTATATATTTTTTAAAGAGAATAAAAGGCCCATCTCCTTCATGAGAGCATTTTGCACGACATAACATCACATTCAGCAACTATAGTATGAAAACAATGTTTCAGGGTCAAGCATGAGAACATTTTCCCTACCTCCAGCAGCTGCAAAATTTCATTAAGTGAAGTGCTTCATGCAGTTTCTATTCTACCATCAGTACAAAACATAGTGAAGAACCACTCAAACTACCCACATTGCTCTAAGTATCATAACAGTTGTGTCTCTTCTTAAACATACAGTGTTCAGACTGAACGTCTTAGATAAACAGTGTTCAGACTGCCTGTCTTGTATCAGATAAACAGTTTTCAGACTGCCTGTCTTGTCTCAGATAAACAGTTTTCAGACTGCCTGTCTTGTCTCAGATAAACTGTGTTCAGACTGAGTGTCTTGTCTTAGATAGGCTTTGTTCAGTATGAGCATCTGGTCTTAGATAGGCTTTGTTCAGGCTGAATGTCTGGTCTCAGATAAACAGTGTTCAGACTGACTGTCTCATCTTAGATAAACAGTGTTCAGTATGAGCATCTTGAGCCATTGTTCATTTCAAATTGTGCCCATAAAATAAACTTGAAATGATGAGAAACAAGCAAACTGGCCTACTAATAGACATAGTTTATACAAAGTTTTCCATTTTTACCCTCATTTGTTGGCTTTTTAATATGTCTTAGAATACTTAGTAATGTATCTATTGCTAGTGACTAAAAGATATGAATAAAATGTTATAACTTTTTCTAGAAAAACCAAAAAACTATATTTGAAAATACAAAAACAAATCATATTAAGGTTTCCTTGAACATTATAAGCATTTCTGTTTCCCCAAAGTTTCTAAGAGAATTAGATTTACTAAACATTATTGTATATTGATAGAACAAGTTCTATAAAGTGAATTAGAATATAAAATCAAGTTAGCTAAAACTCTGTCTAAACAGCTGCAAAGAACAAATTTAAATGTAAAGAATGGTTTACATTTTTTTATGATATTTAACTGAATTAAAGTAATAGACATTATAAAGAATAAGATTTTGTCACAATGCAGAGGTATCTATTTACAAAAGTTATGAAGAATAAGCAGGAGAACTATTCTGTGAAAAGTTGGAATGTTCTACAAATATGTGTATGTGGAGGGGTTGGCTTCAATAAAGTAGTCAATCATGGTACATGAACAAAGGTTTATAATGTATGGCTATAAATAAGATAAACATACCACAAGTGTAAACAAGACTCTGCCATAAGTTGTCTATCGCTCCAGAACGAAGGCCCTCCAGAACAATTAGGTGTTCCTCACCATCCCAAACATGGAATCCACTTATAAAGTCTTCATATGGATCACTGAAGCTTTAGACAAAATAATTTTAACTATACTTTTAAAGTTTAAATAGTGTATTGGGTTTGATATTATACTACTAGTTTAATGAAAGTATGTAAAGATTAATCTACCTGAAAACAACTTAACACAATATTATTTTCTTATAGCACTTTATATAGCCTTTGCAATCATTGACTATACTATATGATCAACAGCAACCATCTTGGTTCTTTTTGCACATATATCTTTAAACTATGTATGTTAGAATATGTATAGACAGCATTGTCAAGAGTGACCATACAACAGACAACTCTTGAACAAGTAACATGGCCCAACATGTTCTGAAATGAAAGCTGATGAGTATCAACAGACAAATCTTAAACAAGTAACATGGCCCAACATGCTCTGAAATGGAAGTCAGAGAGTATCAACAGATAACTCTTAAACAAGTGACACGGCTCAACATGCTCTGAAATGGAAGTCTGTGAGTATCAACAGACAACTCTTGAACAAGTAACATGGCTCAACATGTTCTGAAATGGAAGTCGGTGAGTATCAACAGATAACTCTTAAACAAGTGACATGGCCCAACATGCTCTGAAATGGTAGTCTGTGAATATCAACAGATAACTCTTAAACAAGTGACACGGCCCAACATGCTCTGAAATGGAAGTCTGTGAGTATCAACAGACAAATCTTAAACAAGTGACACGGCCCAACATGCTCTGAAATGGAAGTCGGTGAGTATCAACAGATAACTCTTAAACAAGTGACACGGCCCAACATGCTCTGAAATGGAAGTCGGTGAGTATCAACAGAGACAATCTTTAAACAAGCCTGTGTTTTGCAAACCAAACATCACACACTGAGCATGCTTGGTACTGATTTGTTTTGGGTAAAGCCTGTCAATTATTAATGCCAAGGTGTTATTATTTTGAAGTGATGACAGGTGTTACAACTAATGTCATATAGAGGACTATAATATAAATACTTTTGATATCAATAGAAAGCTAACACTGGAGTGCGAGATACCTCTGAAATATATGTATATATAAAATGCCAATGGGTATCAGAAGAAACTACAATGTAAGTGAACACATTCTTGGTGCTAGCTAGTTGATTTGATCAGCAGGCCAATGTATCTATATAATTAAAAAAAAGTAAATGTGTGTGTGTGTGTGTGGAAAGCTTTTTAAACTTCATTAAATTAGGAGTTGAAAAGTATGAACAGCATCATCATATGTACAAATGAAACTTTTAAACTTCATTAAATTATGGAAAAATGAAATTAGGAGTAGGGACGTACAGACAACATCACCACATGTGTAAGAGAAAGGTGGCTGTAGATAGTACTATACATTGCAAAGGGAAAAGTATTTGGGAAATGGATCTGTCATTCCTGAGAGCCCTTTCTCAGACAGCAGTGTTTAGGTTTTAAAGTTTTGTGTATGAATTTCTTCATTTGTTTATAGACACTTAAAGTACCAGTACTCTGTTGAGTTTCAGTACTTGCCCCCTGATACCCAGGTTTTGAAAGCGTTGTTAGATCTCTTGTCTCTTAGTAGATAAGTCAGTCGGTTTATCATTTTTTGTATCAGACCATTTGTCTCAAAGTGTCTTTTGTACTAGAGGTGTTTGGTGAGTATCATGTGTTATGAATTATGTTTAATCTAATAGTCATTGAGATGCTCTGCATAGCCATAAGATTTGTTCAAAGTTCTACATACCTAATCTCATACATGAGTAGTATAGGCAGATCACTAGACTATTTTAATTTATCTAAATACACAGCACTGTATTTGCATTGTATAAATGTTGTGATCTTAAATACAAAATGCTACAACAAAAAATTTTCATAAACAAAGCACGAATTTTCCCCCTAGTTGTTTTATTATGATAATTCTCTATATTACATAGTTCATACAACCAAGAAATGTTTATAAAAGTACCAACATAAACATTTTGAAATGGTTTGCCAATAGCAGAGATTTTAGCTCTAGAAAACACCAATGAAATTATTTGGAGGGGTTTTATTCAAAAGATTAGTCCAGTCATCATTAACTGTAAGAAACAATGGAGACATTCAGAATCTTTGGTGGAAGAAGGCATGACAGGTGTTAGAACATGAAAATGTAGACTGCAAATACTTGCACACATTAAAATGATATAAGTAACCTTTGTTCTATAGGGGATACATTTTTTGTCATCGACACAACCCTGAAATACAAACGAGTTTAAATAATGGGATGGTATACATTACTAAAGTAAGTATCTGGGTTTTATTATAAAAATATAAGAATTTCACAAAACATTAATCTTGGTGAATCCTTTAAAATCTGGAATCTGTGAAATATTTTAAGAGATGAAATATATTTATTTTGGCAGAGAAACAAGAAAATCTTAGGATAAACTACCCCTTAAATATGTCTTAATATCACCTACACATGATGCACATAACAATGATGGAAAAATCAATAAATTATAAAACATAAGTTCTTTACTGTAGATATTGATATTTATTCTATCTATTTATTTATCTAGTTATCTGTCTATCTACCTACATGGATGTTAATATTTTTCACTTCGTTTAGACTAAACTATTGCAAAATATTTGTGAAGAAACAAACAACTGATTGTCACATTAATAAATTTATCATATACAGAAATATAAGTATACCTTTTTGTTCGGTATAAGGTAAAAACAAAAAGATCTGAAAAATTATATATATACATATATTTTTCTATACACATACATACACACACAATTTTTCAAATCTCTCTGTCCCCCAGTGGGACAGTAGTACGTTTATGGAATTACAATGCTAAAATCTTAGGTTCGATTACCTGCATCAGTGGACACAGCGGATAGCTTAATGTGGCTTTGCTCAAAAAGAAACAAACCATCAAATATCTTTCTACGTGCACATATCTCTTGGGATATACCAGAGTGAGGATATTAATGAAATTGGCTTATGAATATTTAGGTATCAACACACCCTTACACAATATATTCTGAGAGATCAAGACTACAATTTACAATAAGATACATCTTCTCATGTAAAACCTTCAATTGTAAATCTTGGTGTTCTATGCAGTCACTAGCAAATTAATGCTCAGCATAAAACTCATGGTTCTTCAAATAGCGCATAATTCTGACTTCTTTGGACCACTGAACTAAGCTATCTTGAATAGCATGAAATGGTCTTTTGCTTTATAATGTACTTAAAGTTTTGAGTCTACATAACCATGTGTTGCCACCTTTGCTATGTTAATGTTACGTTTATCATTGTTAAATTGCATTTGACATGTATCAAAACCCAATGGAGAAAACACTTTATTAAATGTATGTACTTTCAGTATTTATAACGTAAACTGTTTGGCATAAATAAACACAGTTATTTGATCTTATCTTTCATGCTGTACAGAGGCATTTGGTGTAAGTACAAAAAAGAATACTCAAAAACTGGAAATATTTCATACAATATTCAATTTATCACTGCTCATTGTATCTTAACAAATTATTTGTTTTATAAACCATAAGCTACAAAATAAATCAATGCCTTACAAAGGATTTCAAAAAAGAGGGAATGAAAGTGAATAAAACCTTGCCAAATACTGCGTTGTGAAGAAGATTCTGTGATGTGGGAGAAGATGTTTCTCTAAATGTAAAGACTTAGAATTAATATCTGTTACAAGTTTTAACAGCTGCTTCAAATGGTCACTTTTGTTTCTTCTAACTGTGTACACTATCCTGCCAAATGGACACTGGAAATATAGGAATGACTTGGTTACTTTTCTCACTAAATAAATTGTTATAAAAAGGTAGCACAAGACCTTACATTTACCAAATTAACACTGACAGACGTGGTTATAGAAAACTATATGCATAATTTATAAACACATAAAAAGAAGTTAAAAACTTGTGTTTCTTTACCCTGTTTGCATGATAATTTCTAACATGCTTAAATCTCACACCCAAACGTATGTTTATTGCCTTATAATTTCAACTGACAGTTTAGATTTTTAAAAGAGAGATCTTAATGAAGCAAAAACAGAACTCTTACATATAACATAACATTATGAAAAAACAACAGAAGTACAAACTTACACTCTCTAGCCCAACTTTAGTTTCCAGTGGTTGGGCTATTCGAGCTGTGACCTTTAACTGTGACTGACACATGTTATAGTGACCTGGACGAGGAAGGTGTATACAGTCTACATTATATTTGGGTGAATGATACTGAAAAGATAAAAATGGAATTATAAGAGGAATTAAAAGAATAATAAATAATATTTATATCAAATGTACTTGTGAAATATGGTACTAGAATATTGATTATTAGTATGTATTGGCATAAAAATCACAAAATGTATTAAGAAACAGATCTATATGACCCTCAACTAGAATAAAAAACTTGACCTTGTAAACGTGAAATATTAAATTTTTGGATATTTTGCTACAATATTAGGGCAGCATATGTTAATATAAATTTATATTGTTACAACAACGGAAGTCACGTGACGCTAGTAACACGTCATGAACTTCTAGAAGGATCCTGTCCTTTCCTGAATGCTCTAGCATTTACTAGATTTCGGTATTATTTTATATATAAGACGATCAAGACGTGACGACAACAATGTAATGTGTAATTGAACTGCGGACAGAGAGAGATGTATTGTTGAGCATGTGAGACGTTTGTTGTGAATTATAGCATTTGTTATAGCGCGACTGTGGAAATTAAGTGTATTGCAAAGTTGTATTCAGAAAGAATAAACCAGTTTTATTTAAGAAAGGACTTGTATTGCTAAAGTTACTTCGGAAAGAATTTTTACAGAAAATTAACTAACAACCAGAGACGTAACACCTCCTTTATTATTGATACACATGCTCTGCATACTTTCAAGAGGAAAGCAGCAAGAACTTTGTTGAAGTACTTTGATTTCAATCTGCATTTAATTCTAATAGCTTTCTTTTGTGATTCATATCAAACAGTCTTTATATTTGTAACTTATTTTCAAAATGTTTTATTATTTGTTTTTCTCTACACTATGCATAAATCCTCTCAGTTTGTGGGCATGTCTGAAAAGGAAAGTTTTTTTATTAAGTACAAAGATACATAGTGAGGTATCTGTGCTGTGCCCACTATGGCGATTGGATCCAGAAATTTAGTAGGGATGTGTGTGAAAAAAAACTGAAAGTGTACTAAATTAAATCGAAGATAGGAAAACTGATACTTAAGCTTTTATGATCACCTTTTGAATAGATGACTGACTATCAATTTGACTGGTTAGTTCTTTGTTTAGTTACATAAAAACAAATCAAAGCACTAAATGTAATGTGATTAATTAACTTGATTTTAATATGCAACATATATTGTACTTATATGCATCTTTACAAGATATTGTTTATTTCTTTTATTGGCAGGTTCTTTTAAATTATCTGATGAAAATATCCAACATCCAATCTGGAAGCAGTCAAAAACTCCTTTATTTGCTTCTTTAACATTATTACAAACTTAAACTGTCATAACTTGTAGGCCTAAGTTTTCAGACACACTAACTGTACTGAATAACATAAACAAAAATAAACTTAGTTGTATAACAGTGCAATAGCAAACACTAACAACAACTCTCTATTCTAAAATAAATATATTTTATCTCAACAACTCTACTACTGTTTACTCTCAACTAATTTTATGGAACACCATATTTATAAACTGTATGTTCAAAAGTTCTAAAATAAAACTTGATGTCAAATTAGAACTTTCTGGTAATGTGCCCTCTAGCTAAAAAACAAATTACAATATTAAAATATAGCTTAAACAACACTAAGTTGTCTTTTATCACATGTGTAATGTTAATCAAAATGATAACATGTATCAGATATAACATTCAGTTAAGTCTGAGCTTAATTAATGAATACAAAATGTGCATATACTGTGTGTGTATTATGGACTATTTATTCCTAGGTGTTACATTAATGATCAGATAAATTCTTGGGTATTCTGCCCAAAAGTGCATACAAAATGAAACAAAAAAACAAAGATACATACTAACTAATAACTTCCAGATAAGAGTCAACCAGTTAAGTTCTAATAACTTAATGAAACTGGTGTCTTTTCTAAGGATGAAAAGTTTATATAATAAGAAAACTGTTTAGAATAGGCCCAGCATGGCCAGGTGGTTAGGGCACTCGACTAGCAATCTGAGGATCGCGAGTTCGAATCCCCGTCACACCGAAACATGCTGACCTGGTGCCCAAACTAGGACGCCAGTCCTACTCCCGGATACTCACCTCCAACAGAATTTGGAGGTGTGAGAAACACCATACGAAACTACTACTATTTAGAATAATATGTTACACACACACACACATCAACAATGTAGCAGTTTGAGTGCTTTATTAGCAAGTACTAAGGGGTTAAGCCTGTAGCTCATTCCGTAGAACCCCCCCCCCCCCCTGTTGTGTGCAAGGTCTTGGGTTCAAATCCAAGCCAATGAAAATAATATATTTTAAGTTACCACAAAAATATGCCAAGCTCAGCAGAAGTGGTGATCTTAAAAAATCTTCTGTTTTTTTAGGATAACATAAGAATTTACAACAAAAATCAAAAGTTCAGAAGCTAAAAAAAGATTTGTTTGTATACAAATAAAGATAAAAAGAATATCTAGGTTGCCTTCCTTCAACAATAGTTAGAAGCCAAGTTACAGCATTAAATATGGAGTGCTTATGTTAACAACAAGCTCAATCTCAAGTAATGTCACACCACTTGTTAGAAAATAAAACAACTGCAATAAATGAAGAAATGAGGAACAGTGACTGGAAATCACTGTAACATACTTACTAGTCTTGTCTTACAATTACCAAAACATACAAGTAAGCCAAAGCTACATTTTGAATGTATGAGAATTGATTGAAACATACTGCTGCTGACTCCTGTGGGGTGTTTCTAACAGGAACAGAGATATGGATCAGCGTTTGGCCATGAAGAAAGCCTGACATGTCACACTGTGCTACACCATGTGGATATGAAATCTTCTTCTTTGATTGGTCTACAGAACTGGCTTTCCATTTTGTTACTGACAGATAGAATATTTTCATTAGGTAATATCTACCATTTCGTGGCCACACAAAATTTTTATAAGTATAAAAGCGGAGAAAGTTTAGACAGTTAACAAGCTTCATCCACCTGCAGTAGTTCGGAGATGACATTGTAAGTCATTAGCACAAATCTCCATCATAACCCGATGAAGATCTGTTTTAGCTATTAGATATTTTTACTCCCCCTCAAGCAATCAATCTTAAGGATACAAAATTAAAAAATATATTACTGTCTCCCTGGTTGCTATGCTGGTACAGATGTACCAACATTGACTGTATTATTCCAAGTATAAACCTGAAATTACACTATTTATACTAAAGAAGACTGGTTGCAAAGCTGGGTAATATAATTTAATAGACGTCATGTAGCTTTTCAGTTTAGTCAGAATTTGTGTTATTAAAAATTCGAGTAGTTCTTATTTGCATATACATGAACAAGATAATAACTAATCTCCTTTTTATTTTCTATTATTTTTTTTAGCAAAACAGCATCTTAAGCAGCAATCTTATTAGCAAGAAAAAAGTATAAAGTTTAAAAATTAGAATTCTACATTTTATTATGACACACTAAAAAAATAATATTGAAATATGAAGATACACTTTAGTGGAACATATTACATAATTTACCTAGACAGTTTCTTTCAAACTGGTTTATATATTCAAACTCTAAGGTTCTAGGACAAGGAATTTCCTTTTGATTAAGCACAGCATTTTCAGAGTGTTTAAAATCTCTGTCATGGACTTGAACAGCTAACGGTGGTCCCTGTAATTTCTCTTGCACAAAGCCACTGTTTAACATACCTGCAAATACCTCCCACAAAATATAGTTGTAATATTGCAAATGACTTAATGCAGTCATTAGATAAGTATACACTTATATTCAATAAAGTCCAACTCGGCATTCAGAAATATAAATGTTTAAAAAATCAAAAAATATATCTAAAAAAAGGTATTGTACACATACTTAACTATATACATTATCTCACAGTTGAAAATCAGTAGATTATTAAAGATCCATGACTGTAAATAATTAATTTACATTAAACTATGATGATATTGTGTCAGTTTATAATGATTAGGATGAACATCAATATAATTTACAGTACATTTTAATGTGGCTCATAAAATATTTTCACTGGCTATGTTCAATGAAGACCAGTTATTTGTAACCTCTCTAATATAACTAATCATCATTCTACATGTAACCAATCTATTATAACTAATCATTATTCTACATGTAACCAATCTAATGTAACTAATCATCATTCTACATGTAACCAATCTATTATAACTAATCATTATTCTACATGTAACCAATCTAATGTAACTAATCATCATTCTACATGTAACCAATCTAATGTAACTGACCATCATTCTACATGTAACCAATCTAATGTAACTAATCACTATTCTACATGTAACCTGTCTATCATTATAACTAATCATTATTCTACATGTAACCAGTCTAATGTAACTAATTATCATTCTACATGTAACCAGTCTATTACAACTAATCATCATTTTACATGTAACTTGTCTATTACAACTAATAATCATTCTACATATAACTTGTCTATTACAACTAATCATCATTCTACATGTAACCTGTCTATTACAACTAATCATCATTCTACATGTAACCCGTCTATTACAACTAATCATCATTTTACATGTAACTTGTCTATTACAACTAATAATCATTCTACATATGACATGTCTATTACAACTAATAATCATTCTACATATGACGTGTCTATTACAACTAATCATCATTTTACATGTAACCCGTCTGTTACAACTAATCATCATTCTATATGTAACCTGTCTATTATAACTAATCATTATTGTACATGTAACAAATCATTACTGTACATGTAACATTGTCTAATGTAACTAATCACCATTTTACATGTAACCAATCTAATGTAACTAATCACTATTCTACATGTAACCTGTCTATCATTATAACTAATCATTATTCTACATGTAACCAGTCTAATGTAACTAATCATCATTCTACATGTAACCTGTCTATTGCAACTAATCATCATTTACATGTAACCTGTCTATTACAACTAATAATAATTTTACATGTAACCTGTCTATTACAACTAATAATCATTCTACATATAACTTGTCTATTACAACTAATCATCATTTTACATGTAACCTGTCTATTACAACTAATCATCATTCTACATGTAACTTGTCTATTACAACTAATAATCATTCTACATATGACGTGTCTATTACAACTAATAATCATTCTACATGTAACCTGTCTATTACAACTAATCATCATTTTACATGTAATGTGACTATTACAACTAATAATCATTCTACATGTAACTTGTCTATTACAACTAATAATCATTCTACATATAACTTGTCTATTACAACTAATAATATTTTACATGTAACTTGTCTATTACAACTAATAATCATTCTACATATAACTTGTCTATTACAACTAATAATATTTTACATGTAACTTGTCTATTACAACTAATAATCATTCTACATATAACTTGTCTATTACAACTAATAATATTTTACATGTAACTTGTCTAT